CTTGACTGCCCCCCCCCCTGAGCTTTTCTGCCCCCCTCCCCTTGCTCATTGGATTTGATTGACGGATTCCTCTTCCTAACCTAGCCTCTTCCACTGGCATTCCATCCCTTTCCTATTAGGTCCTGCAACGCCGACAGCCTTTTTTTTTATTTTTGCCTGTTCCCTTTTTTTCCTCTTCTTTTCCAATCCCTCTATCCCCGTCCCTGTCATCGCGAAGACGAGCCCAATTCTGTCAATCATTTGCTTCGATTCTCAGCCAGGCCTTGCAACCGTGGAACGACCCAACTTCGCTTCTCACGACCTACTTAATTCGCCGGTTTTACTTTTGTCGCTAGGGTATTGCGCCGTCAGGAACTGCGAGGGAGAAAAGGAAGATACGACTCAGCCGAGATAAAAGCGAGTGGCACCCAAGACCAGGGCAACCGAAGAAAGAGAAAAAGGAAACGTGGAAAAGGAAAAAAAGAGGAAGAAGAAAACGAGACCAAACCAACGGGCCGAACGTCTACGCTCTTCTCCCGACCTTATCCAGACTCGATCCGGGACCGTAATCGAATCTAAATCCCACCGCTTCTCGTCGCCATCTCCGACCAAAGCGCCTTTCAACTCGCACTTTCGACGAGTTGAACGATAATAGACTCTGTCCACGCTTGTTGCATAGGCTCTTCCCGACCCTATTGTACGGCTTGCCGACTAATTTTCGAATTGCATATCAAATATCAATTGACTTCAATTCTCATTGTTTTCTGCCGGCAAAGACCTCGACCAACCCCGAACCATTTGTCTACCCGCAAGCGTTCCGAACCCAGTGACGCTCCCATTACAGACGACGCGGCGACATTTGGACATTGAGTCTTTGTCGACGACGTACCTAATTCGACGACACTTTAACGATTGCGTCTCCAGTCACCCCCTCAGCAAATCAGGATCGCTTGTCCTTCGCCGCGTGTGGCCACAACGTTGCTACAGCCTTCCACCAACTAATCAAATCAATCCGTTACGTCTCCGCGTGCGACTCTCTTGCACAGCCACAGTTCCTGGACGGGAGAGATCAACAAAGCGCAAGCCTTGATTTTCGCATCACGTCGCATGCGACAGCGCCCAATTATCGCTCGACAGGGTCTGATTCTTAATCGCACCACCCACGCGTAAACGTCTTCTCTCTTCCTTATGCCCTCATACGGGTCTCTTCACTCCCCGTCGCTGCGCAAAATGGAACATTCCAGGGCAAGCTACGGCCGATCAGGCATGTCTATGTCTAATATCATCGGCGATCCCTTCGCTCTGGCGACAATCTCAATTGCAGCGGTAAGTTGAACAACCATAATGCGCTGCGTTTGCGATACTAACTGGACTGCTTTTCAGCTGGCATGGGTCATCACCTTCATCAGCTCCATCGTTGCCCGCACACAAGAGACGCCTGGCGATCGCTTCCAGACCTACAATTGGTTCACCATCGTCTTCATGCTCCCCGTCATCATCGGCGTATTTGTCGTGGTTGCATCCAACTCTGTCCAGACGTACCACGTCGCCATCGTCGGCTACCTAGCTTGCGGTCTGGTTTCCACCGCCTCGTCCATCAACACCCTGATATATTCCTCGCAGGGATCAAGAGAAGCTGCTGCGGCCGGCTTTATTCTGCTCACCATGGTCAATGTAAGTATAGCGAAAGCCGCTCTTAACTGCCAAGCATTTGCCACCAACTTGTGTCGGAGCAGTCCGCTAACCCTGCTGTAGATTGTATGGATATTCTACTTCGGATCCGCGCCTTCGGCCATGCCCCGAGCATACTTGGACTCGTTTGCTCTCGCCAAGGAGTCGACGGGCCGGCAAACGATGAACGGAGGATATGGCGGCCGCCCTGAGACATCTACATCTGTCCAGCCGCCCCAGATGTACACTTCGGCTCAACTGAACGGACTAGAGAACCCGTCACCCGTGGCAGGATACAACGGGAACATGGCGCGAAACTCGGGTACCGCTCCCGCCTTCCCCGGCCCCGTCAACAAATCGCCGTCGCCGGCACAGAACGAGAGCGAGATTGCTGCGCCGACCGAATACCCGTATCGTGCTAAGGCCATCTACAGCTACGAGGCTAACCCCGATGATGCTAATGAGATATCATTCTCGAAACACGAGATTCTCGAGGTTAGCGACGTGAGCGGCCGATGGTGGCAGGCGCGGAAAGAGACGGGCGAGACAGGAATAGCACCCAGCAACTATCTCATATTATTATGAGAAGGATTACTGAAGTAGTACGATGGGAAGCTCGCCATTCCTCAACCTAATCCGCCTAGGACGAACCCATCTGAGCCAGATAGGGTGTCCAGGCCAAGGCCGAAATATCGGCAGAGGAGTGGCTTTGTATTTGAATAGGTGCTTAGAAGATGAGTCGAAAACACACGGGTCAGGGTCACGCTTTGGAGTAAATCGGGGGTCACCTACTACGTCAACCTACAGTCACCAGATGTAGTCTTTTCTGTTTCTTTTCTTTTTTCTTGTGTCTCTTCTTCTCCACGGCTCTTGTTTTTCTATTATTATTTCATGATGGCCGGCTTATTGTTTATTGTTTCTTCTTCCCTTTTACTACCTACTCCTTTTCTCCCTCCCCTATCTCCATTCGCACCCCCAAATCCCCGGTGCGATGCAACAGACGGAGATAAAAACCAACACGCCCTTCATTGCCTCGCGCCATACCTCTGCGATAATCCCGCACCTTCTCGCCGGCCTTTCGAACTAAAACCTATACATATAGCTGAACTGGCGGTCAGGGCTGAAAACAGGATGGAGCCTCTCTCTGACACGAACGGGATTTACGAACGTCACGCCCCCCATTAGTTCACGGATGCCAGGAGATAGGTCTAAGCTCTGGTATCTTTCAATGAAAAAGACCATTAACAAGTACCACGAGCTTCTTGCGTGCATTGCGATGTGATGTTTTTTTTGTGTGGTGTGATTCTGAAAAGAGGTATGTTATTGTCTGAGTAGCAAGTTGGGTCACAGTAAACATGAGCTTTGTAAGACTCGACTTTGGTCTGGATACATGGCTGAGCACGTAGCATATGGCCCTGTACTAAATCGCATATAATGAATGCTATTGGGACTGAACATTAGCCCAGACTTCCCAGGTCCAAATCAAGGACGGTTGACGAGACGTATTTGCTAATCTTTCATATAATGTGGCATCATCGTCCAACAGTCCTTGCTCCGCTGCACAATACTGCCGGCTCCCTTATCACCATCGTCCCCCAAGTTCAGGAATAGCAGTTGTTTGCAGCTTGCTCCCGTACAGGAACAAGGATAGGATAGAGGCTCCGGTAGTTTGTACACTACGTCGAACTCCTGCCCGCATCTGTCCATGCTCCTCCTCTGTTATCAATCTCTACCAGGGGACATGGAGCAGACAATGATATATTCTTCCTTTCTCTCGGAGGTCCCTACGGTAGGTTGCCGTCTCCCGCTCATAAGTCGAGTTGAGACAGAGCCGCTCGTCCAAATACTTGCAAAGGAGGACCAAATTCCCTTCCTCCTGCCGTAATGACCGGCAAGCATCTTCCATCGTAAGTAGCCGGCCAGCTTGCGCTGTTTCCGCGCATCCGTTTGCTTGCTTGCACGCACGCACACCACTCCCCTCACGCCCCCGCCGCCGCCGCAGTGGCATCGAGCCGCTTCCGCAGCTCGCGCTCCTTCTGGAGGACCTCGAGCTCGAGGCGCTCGACGCCGTAGCGGAGGGCGTCGCGGCGCTGGCGGGTGGCGCGCGCGCGCAGCGCCGCCTCGCCGTCCAGCCGGCTCCTGCCGCGCCGCGAGGGAGGCGGCGGCGTCGAGGTCGGCGTCGTGCTCGCGGCCCCGTCGTTGTCATGCCGCAGCCGCCCCTGCTGCAGCTCCGCCCGCGCCTTGAGCGCGTCGATGCGCCGCGACGCGCGCGCCGCGTGCGCGTCCGCCCGGTCCAGCAGCGTCGCGATCGCGGGGCCGATCTCGTCGCGCAGCGAGGCCTCGGCGAGGGCGAGGGTGGGTTGCGGGATTAGCTCGTAGTGCTGTGGGTGGTGCGCGGGTTAGTCTGTGCGTTATATCGTGGCATGGCATAGGAGAGAAAGTAAGTGAAGAGGCAACGTACGCGGACGCTCTTGAGCACGCTGACGAGGCGCGGGAAGTCGGCGACGCCGGTGCCGAGCGTGGAGACTGAGGACTCGAGGAAGGATAGCGAGGTCCGAAGCGCGGCTACGCAGTCGCCGTACGAGGCGCTGCCCGATGTTGCGGTTACGGTCGTGGCCATTGGGGGTTTGTTCGGGGGTGTGGTTTGGTCAGAGACGAGAGAGCTGTGTATCTAAATATTTACATTCTGAAGCTGTACGTTGTCTGGGATTGGATGCGGGGCGTACAAGGCAACGGCTGTCCAGGTTTATGTAATAAATGAAGATCATTTAGAACTATCGCCTACATGAATATTGTCACCTATCTCTTATGTTGATTTCAGAAGCACCCGTTCGTCTATATCACTCTTCAATTGACTGTCCCATAGTCTTGAATAGATGGTGTTTCTATATTGAACGTCCTATTACCTCAGACTGGTACTCTATCTAGTAGACTCTTTGCTGGTTTTCGTAGGACACCTTCCCAGCTGGTACCAGACATCCGTTTCCAAAAAGGCCGGCAGGAGATCGTAATACATGCCTGTTTTATCTGTAGAGATACGATAATGTCGTAACTATACCGGCGTAATATCAATATTTATTGCGCTGCCCAGTATGTACGAGCCTTTACTACCTATATAAGTCGTTAGAGTATCTACTCAAAGATATCCCAGTGACCTTGCTTAAGAAGCGGCACCCATACGTGTAATAATCGAAGACGCGGCGCTGAGTAGGGTGTTGGTATGCCATTATCGTCAGACCTATTAACTTTTCGGGGAGATTTGCAAAATAATTATAATTATCATCATGGCCTACTGGCATTCGAATAAGAGTCCGAATCTGAATCGAAGAAGATAAAAAAGCAAAATATCTTGGCGGTACTGGGAATCGAACCCAGGTCTACACGGTACCAGTAAGTGTCCACAACGTGTCGTACTATCCACTATACTATACCACCTTAGCGCCATTCAACGATAATTTTAATTGCCTTACACCATCTTATATCTGACGGAGAATTGAGTTAAGGTAATGGTCGGACGCGAAACCCTCTAGCCGGAATTTAGCCGAGATTTACAGGGTTAAATTTTGATAGGATTCGACGCTTCAGATTCAGACGTCACTCCTCATGGACAGGAACTTGACAACCAGTTATCTATCTACCTTATACCTACCTAATCAACTCGTAATGACGATGGTCCACCCCATATGGACTTGGGCATATAATGTAGCAGTGAACAATACAAGGGTGTATCGGTGGTAATACTTATTCGTACTAGGGTCGACGGGCTCGGTTAATGTCTCCGCACGGAGATCTGGGCCAGAACCATTCATGCCCTAGATATCGACGGTGAGCATCATCAAGTACCGTGGACGCGACGAATGAATCGCGGGGTTGATGTAACACGGCACTCGAACCAGACGACATGGCTGAGCCACTAGCAGTCGACCTCGAGGGGGATCAGATCTTGGCGTAACGACCTCAATTCGCTTGTGCTGAGCAGACCAGGCCTAGAGACATCATCCAGGACCAAGACGTGCCATTGCCATCATCTTCCGGATTTGCCGATTGGCAGTTCAGACCGTAGCATGCCTCCGTCAGCGCTAAGCGACGGCGATGTTGGGACGTTTGAAATATCCAGTCGTGTCCGCGTCCTGGCATCCAAGACTTTCCAGGATGACAGCCTTCAGTCGTCCCCCTATGGTTACTTGTTACCTGACGCATAACACTCCAGCGATAGTTTGATATGGCACCTACAGTGGTCAGCGGACCTCACAAACGCAGGCTACATCTAGTCCGCAGTCACGCCCACGAAGGGGATATACCAGGAACCGTCAATGTACAGACGAGTGGTTAGTATTGACAGAAAAGCTGCCGGCTCTCTCAAATCTGATCGTAGTCTTTCAAATAGAGGGCGATGATGCCTATCACGGTCAAGCACTGTTCCCCGTGCCGGCGGAGGATCCCAACGACCCCTTACAAGTAGGTGCTCGCCGTCATATGCTGCCCGCCCAACAAGATGCTAAGCCATTAATAGTGGCCTCAAGCCAAGAAAATCACGATCCTAGTGATAATCTGCACCTACTCATTTCTCGGGAATTCCGCTCTTCTGGGGCCAGGCCCCTATCTGAATCTCTGGTCTGAATTGTTCAACGTCTCCCAGGCAGAGGCGTCAACGCTGATATCCTACCCCAACCTCGCCTACGGGTTTGGTTCCTTCTTTCTGGTGCCGCTGTACTTGAAGATCGGAAGACGACCCGTGATGCTTGGCTCTCTACTGGCTGTTAGTCTAGTCGACACCACGATTCTCATCGTTTCTAGCTGACTTGGACCATATAGTTCGTTGCTGGACTGGCTGGCTGTTCGCAAGCCAACACTTTCGGAGGGTTGATGGCTGCGAGAGTCATACACTGCTTCGGAGCTGGGATCTGTGAAGCCCTGCCAGTCCAAATCGTGTCCGAAGTGTTCTTCCTACATGAACGTGGAAAGCACCTCGGGTACTACACTTGTAAGGGGTTCACTTGCGTGCTTCGTCGAAGTCTTGCTGACAACCCCCTTAAATAGTTGGCATGTGCTTCGCCGCGATGGCGACTATCCCAGCTGCATATATGCTTCCAACCCAACACTCCTGGAGGCTTTTCTTCTACGTTATACTCGCCTTCGCGTCTGCGCTATTTGTGCTCGCGTTCTTGTTCGTGGAAGAGTCCTCGTACGACCGAGAGGCGCACATGAATCATAAAAGCTCCCCTGAGAGCTCAAGTGGAATTGTCGCCTCGGCCGAAAAGCCTGAAGAGGCCACCGTCGAGGAAGTCGCGGCAACACCAGCGCGTAAAACGTTCGTAGAAACGCTCCGTCCTTGGGGCCGCATCGAACCCGAAGTCCATTTCTTCACGCTGATGTGGCGATCCTTTACCTACTTCCTAGTCCCTCAGGTCCTATGGGTCATCACCTCGTTCGGGATCATCATAGGTCTGAGCGCACTCGCGTTCAACTATACATTCCCAATCAAAATAACAGCACCCCCGTACAACTGGTCAGCAGTAAGTGAACCTCTCTGTCTGTAATACCAGGAAGGTTCTCGATTGACCATTTTCCTACAGTCCAGCTCTGGCATTCAGTCGCTCGGAGGTGTACTCGGATTCCTTCTTGCGCTTCCATTCACTTCTTCGTCAGACCGGCTAGCCAGCTACCTCACAAAACGAAACAATGGGATACGGGAAGCGGAGATGCGCCTAGGGGTCATGCTCCCTGCCATGATTATCGCGCCAGTCGGACTCGTAGTCTACGGCCTTACGGCGCAGCTCAATCTTCACTGGATTGGCTACTTCCTCGGGGGCGGCCTGTCATCTTGGGGCGGTTATTTCTACTACTGCTTCACGCTGGCATATGCCGTCGATTCGTATGATAGCAACACGTCTGAGATGCTTATCGCTATAAATGTTGGCAAGCAGGCGGTGAGCTTCGGGCTGGGCTACGGCGTCTTGGACTGGGTCATGGAGAAAGGATACGCGACGATCATCGCGGGAGTCTTTGGCGGAGTCTTCCTGGCTAACAACTTGATGCTCATCGTTTTCATGCTGTGGGGCAAGCGTATTCGGCGATTCATGTCGACGTCGTGGCTTGGCAGGCTTCACGGGAGAAAAGTTGGTGCCTCAGAATAAGATCATTAGAGAGGATTTACAGGCTAGGGGAAATGTATAAACGCGGACTGTGGAGTGTAAAAAGGACTTATCTTTGCTCTTAGAACACCAAGATACATATTCCCATGATAAATCGGCTTTATACTACGCGTGATGACTGTGTGTTGCGTAAAGATGTTGAAGATCTTCAGGAGGTGAACAATAAAGGAGACAAATCAAACTGATATCGCAGAAATGATAATATTCTAAAGGAACTGTTCATTGTGTCTTTGTCACGAAGTTTAACACAGCGTAATATTTCAAATAACTTGATGTTTTCTCTAAGGTGATGATATGTCGATAAAGGGGTAAAAGCCAATGTTTACAATCTGTTATACGTGATATCGGATATGCAACACCTTTTTGTAACCATAGTGATATTAAAAAGTAGAAATTCATCGCTTGAAAACATGTTCTATACGCGACTCTGCCCAGCTGCTTGGGGCTTGACCCAGGGGAAACGTCTTTTTGCACTGACTTCCACACGTTACCCAGCTACCTCCTTCTAACGACCTTGAAAACACTACGGGCCATCGACCCAGTCGATGACCCATTCCATCTCACACAAGCCGAATCTTCCTCAACTCCTCGGAGCTTGAAGGCTCATCAAAATGCTCAGAGACAAGGGGCCCTCTAACCCAGGTCGTCATCGCCGGAAAGTAAGTGGTGCGAAGACCGCTAAACAAAAACCCAAGTCTAACCCAGCGAAGAGGAGGCCTGCCAAACGAAGACAAACGAAAAGTTGTAACCGCTGCCGCCAAGGGCACATCAAGTGCGTATCAAGGGGCCGAGGAGAGCTCTGCGAGGCCTGTGCGAAGCGAGGCATCGAGACGTGTAGCCAAACCCAGAGTCGTGAAGCCGTTAGCGCAAGCGTCGCACACGAAGACAACCAGAACCAACCTCCTTCTCCTGACCAGTCCCCTGATCCCGACCCGCCCCGTACTCCCGGTCGGCCTCCTGCTCCCGACCAGAAACTACTACAAGCCATAGCCTCTATGGCTTTAAAATACATGGAGATGATATGTCGTTTGAGAGACGAACATCAACTTGCCATTATTAGACCTGAGGGCTGTCATTAAGCCGTTTGCTGTGGTGTAACGAGTGAGTGCGAATCCCTTTCTCTTCAAATGCATGACCCCTTGGATTCGCTGACCAATGCCTTTGATATAGGATCTCTTATGCTCGAGCCCCTCTGGGTTACCAACCGAGTCGCATCAATACTGTATAGATGCTTGGTGTGCTCCTCCTTCCCCCCAGTACCGCAGAGTCCTCATATTCGTACACGAGCGGCCGGGATAAAGTCAAGACGCAGAGACTTGTGAAGGGGAGCTTCGAATGTGGCCAGCTTGGCAGACAGGGCCGCCCCCAAAGGATACACGAGAAGAGCCAGATACAGAGTCCTCGTCGCTGAGAAGCTCACGCTTCTGGAACTCAAGATAGAGGCAGTCTATCGGTCATCCTGACGTGTTCTTGCTCTAGTACACATCTGTTTCCAGTTTGTATATCGTAGTCGATTCGGTCGCAGTGGATTTTATGTCTTCATGATCCCGAAGAGTTTGTCCATATCTGGTGGAGAACTGTTAGCATCTGGCCTCTTTGAGAACACATTTCTGGATGCAATACCTGTGCTGAAACTACGATGTTCCTTTCTCATCCCAAGCGATATCAATCTATCCTGAGGATGTGCTGTCCCGCAATGAAACCCCCATCACACAAGGAAACCAACAATGATACTGATAAGAGCGATTCCTATATAAAGCACAAGTAGCTGAAATGTCGATCGTCGAAGACCTGATAAAGAGCGATTCCAATAAAAGGTGTTGAAACCAAGAACGCGACCGATGCCGCTCGATGGCGGGATGGGTCCTAGATATACCATATCCTGCTAGCAACCCCGACATGTTGCTTTTATCTGTGCTGTTTGGACTTTATTCTTGCAAACGTCTTGTTTGCTACATCTTATTCAAACACCTTGGCAAGGACGGTGATGCCGGCGAGCAGAGCTGCAGTTGTTGGGCTGTTGTGCCATCTCGCAATATTCACCACGGTATATCAAGCGGGGGAAGTGGGAATATAGGAGCCGCCGTCTCTTCCATCGGAGTAGGATATTGTTTCGTGTTCGGGAAGTCAGTCTCCAAATCTATCTAGATGGGTTAGATGGTCACGATCTTCAGCTGCTAATAGATGGACGAGTGGAAACTTGCCTGCCGTTACCTGTTGATAGGTGAGGGAGTTAAGGGTGTCATGTCAGTTTGCGAGAAACTCTACTGAACTGCCGTG